ACCCGCCACCTTAGGTGTATGTGGCTGGCACCTTAGCCGCTTGAGCCACAGGCGCTGAGCCAGGACTGCAAGAGTTTGAGGTTGCTGTGAGCTATGATGACATGAGCACTTTGGCCTGGATAAACAGAGTGAGACTCCATCTAAAAAAAAAAAAAAGAAGAAAGAAAGAAAAGAAAAGAAAAGAAAAAAGGCTCAGCCCAGCTAAACAACTGCAACAAAAAAAATAGCCTGGTGTAGCTTGGCGCCTATAGCTCAAGCGGCTAAGGCACCAGTCACATACAGAGCTGGTGGGTTCAAATCCAGCCCGGGCCTACCAAACAATAATGACAATTACGACCGAAAAATAGCTGCACGTTGTGGCGGGCACCTGTAGTCCCAGTCACTTGGGAGGCTGAGGCAAGAGAATCGCTTAAGCCCAGGAGTTGGAGGTTGCTGTGAGCTGTGATGCTTTGGCACTCTACCCAGGGCTACAGCTTGAGACTTTGTCTCAAAAAAAAAAAAAAAAGAAAGAAAGAAAGAAAAATAGCTGGGCATTGTGGTGGGCGCCTGTAGTCCCAACTACTTGGGAGGCTGAGACAAGAGAATCTCTTAAGCCCAAGAGTTTGAGGTTGCTGTGAGCTGTGATACCACAGTACTCTACTACCAAGGGTAATGTAGTAAGACTTTGTCTCAAAACAAACAAACAAAAACCCAAAAGAGAATGGAGAAATCAAAAGAAAGGAAAAGTATCAAAAAGAAATATAAGATAATCTCCCAAAATGAAGAGTATGATTCTCAGCAAGTATCCAATACGTTAAATTAGGACAACTCATCCTATGCCACAGTATCATAAATTTCACAGCAGCAGAAAAACAGGGACGAACTTAAAATCTTCCACAGACAAAGTGTTGGTCACAAAAAACTGGGCTAGGAATGAATGATATATTTTCAATTTTTAGCACTGAAAGTTAAAAGTGAAAAAAGACCTAAAAGTCCTGAGAGAAAGGAATTTTCACCCTAAAATTTATTATCAAACAAATTGTTAATAAGGGTGAGCAAAGAATAAAGATAATTCTTTTTCAACTGGGATCTCAAGAAAATGTTCTCCCTTGAAGAGTTCTCAGGAAACTACTAGAAGATGTCCTCCAGCAAAACGGAGTAAACTAAGAAAAAGGAAGAGTCAGAGTCCAGGTATTGGTAATATTCAACACAAAAAGAAAGCTGAGTAGCAACCAACCTTGATCAGAAGAGAAAGAAAAGGCTCAATGAGAGAAATATGCAAGGAAAAAAAGTTACTAGTTTGACTAAGAAGGCTGCTGGACAAAGAGGGAGGAAATTAGCCATAGATACATTAAAAAAACAAACAACCAGGCTCGGCAACCGTAGCTCAGTAGTTAGGGTGCCAGCCACATGCACCAAGGCTAGTGGGTTCAAACCCAGCAGGGGTCTGCTAAGCAACAGTGACAACAACAACAACAACAACAAAATAGCCGGGCATTGTGGCAGGCACCTGTAGTCCCAGTTACCTGGGAGGCTGAAGCAAGAGAATCACTTAAGCCCAAGAGTTTGAGGTTGCCGTGAGCTGTGATGTCATAGCACTTTACCGAGGGCAACACAGTGAGACTCTGTCTCAAAATAAATAAGTAAAACAACCAAAAATTAAATTTAAAAAATGAGGAGGACGGTGCCTGTAGCTCAAAGGAGTAGGGTGCTGGCCCCATATACTGGAGGTGGTGAGTTCAAACCTGGTCCCGGGCCAAAAACTGTAAAAAAATGAGGAATTATTAACTCTATAAAACAACAGCAACAAGATGTATAAGAAAGAAAATAAAATCACAGTGTATCACCTGAATTGGCAGGGAACAATATTTATATAATTAGTAAACAATGAATAAAGTTGTGATAGAACTACATTGAGAAAATGGGAGGAGGGAAGTGGAGATATAGGTGGATAGTGTAAGGAAATCAAGTCCTCCTCTATCATAATAGAAAGTTGACATTAAGTGTCAAAGTTGCCGAATCCAATAATAGCTTGGAAAGCATATCAATTAGAACTATGTTGGCTCGGCGCCTGTGGCTCAAGAGGCTAAGGCCCCAGCCACATACACCTAAGGTGGCGGCGGGTTCGAATCCCCAGCCCGGGCCC